TATATATACATACACACACACACACACACACACACATTTAAAAAAAAAGAAAAACAACCAAAACAAAAAACACATACTTTTTTAATCACTGTGCTCCAATTATTTTGCTGAATAGAGATATATAAAGTATTTGAAGTCTATATAGAAACATAAACATTTGTTGTCTGTGAACAATGTACAATAATTACACTTGAAGAGTTCTCAGGCGGCTGTGATGAGTCTCCCACTTGATAATAAGTGTCCCCCGATAATAAGTGTCCTCCTGACATCTACCGATCTTCTGTTTCATGCAGCATTGTGATCATTTGTTTCCATTACTGATCCCGGAGTATGAATGAAGGAACATTGGGATGTTGTACAGTAAACAAAGGTATCGCTCACCTGGGTTGTGGTCACATGTCAGCCATAACACAGGTATAGTGTGCATGTAGTACAGGAAGGCCACCGGAGGGTGATGGATCGCAGTGTCCCGGCCCTGTGTGTGTCTATGGGTGCTTGCGTGGATCAGGGAGGTGACAGCTCGGACTCCTCCTCCTCACTACTTCCTCATTGTCAGCCGGCCGTCATCGCCATAAACTGTGTCCGATCACACATCACCGCCGCTTGTTCTGAGCCGGGATCGTGCTCCGAGCACCATGTCCAAGCCGCCACCTAAACCAGTGAAGCCAGGTAAGGGCGAGGCCGGATCACCCCCAATCTTCTGTATACATATCCCTGCAGTCCCCCACCCACCTATCCGGGGAAAAGTCTGCACTCTGCGCGTCCTGACAATCCGGGCCCCTGGCAATCTGGGACCCTTGCATGGTCTTGGCAGCCTCAGCCCCTGGCATGGTCCTGGCAATCCGAACCCCTGACATGGTCCTGACAATCTGCGCCCCTGGCATAGTGCTGACTCCTGGAATGGCATTGTCCCAATGTACTGCTCATACCCAGGAAGAGCCAGCTGCCCTTGAATGACTTGGAAGTGTGACTTTTGTGACATTTGAATGGGTGTGTTACATTGGTGGGAGATGTATCCGCAGCAGTTGGACAGAATGACTGCAGATGGTGATCACTGTCTGAGTACTATGGGGTAACACCCATTCACTAGTACACACCCCGCTGCTCTTCTCTGTACACTGTGCTGCCTCTGCAAATCTATGGATCACACTGACCCACTTCCCCTTTAACCAGCGTGACTTCCAGAAAACGAAGGAGGCTGCCATTGCTTGCCTCCGTCTGAAAATGCTAGTTGCCAGGCTGTCTGTGGCAGTGATTGACTAGCAGGCAGCCGGTGATGTCAGAGTACAATATGAAATCCTAATCTGCATGCTTGTTAATATCTGCATGGCTTCTTCTGGGCTGCTAGATCGGTCCGCACAGCCTTTCCTCTTCTGGGCTCCAGCAGTCTAAGGACCGCAGACATTATCATGTCTAATGCAGGTTCCATAGACCCGCATTAGATGTGAGGACGCCAAGGGACAGTCCATCAACCAGAGCGGAGGGGGGAGAGAAGAGAGCGCAGAACACCAGGGGAGTGGGGCCATCCCCACTCCCCTGGCGTTCTTAAACTGTGTCCGATCACACATCACCGCCGCTTGTTCTGAGCCGGGATCGTGCTCCGAGCACCATGTCCAAGCCGCCACCTAAACCAGTGAAGCCAGGTAAGGGCGAGGCCGGATCACCCCCAATCTTCTGTATACATATCCCTGCAGTCCCCCACCCACCTATCCGGGGAAAAGTCTGCACTCTGCGCGTCCTGACAATCCGGGCCCCTGGCAATCTGGGACCCTTGCATGGTCTTGGCAGCCTCAGCCCCTGGCATGGTCCTGGCAATCCGAACCCCTGACATGGTCCTGACAATCTGCGCCCCTGGCATAGTGCTGACTCCTGGAATGGCATTGTCCCAATGTACTGCTCATACCCAGGAAGAGCCAGCTGCCCTTGAATGACTTGGAAGTGTGACTTTTGTGACATTTGAATGGGTGTGTTACATTGGTGGGAGATGTATCCGCAGCAGTTGGACAGAATGACTGCAGATGGTGATCACTGTCTGAGTACTATGGGGTAACACCCATTCACTAGTACACACCCCGCTGCTCTTCTCTGTACACTGTGCTGCCTCTGCAAATCTATGGATCACACTGACCCACTTCCCCTTTAACCAGCGTGACTTCCAGAAAACGAAGGAGGCTGCCATTGCTTGCCTCCGTCTGAAAATGCTAGTTGCCAGGCTGTCTGTGGCAGTGATTGACTAGCAGGCAGCCGGTGATGTCAGAGTACAATATGAAATCCTAATCTGCATGCTTGTTAATATCTGCATGGCTTCTTCTGGGCTGCTAGATCGGTCCGCACAGCCTTTCCTCTTCTGGGCTCCAGCAGTCTAAGGACCGCAGACATTATCATGTCTAATGCAGGTTCCATAGACCCGCATTAGATGTGAGGACGCCAAGGGACAGTCCATCAACCAGAGCGGAGGGGGGAGAGAAGAGAGCGCAGAACACCAGGGGAGTGGGGCCATCCCCACTCCCCTGGCGTTCAGCTCTCTCTTCTCTTCCCCCCTCCGCTCTGGTTGGTGTACTGTCCCCTGGCGTCCACCAGCAAATAAATCTGCTTTACTCCAACCCATAGACCAGGGTGTAGGCAACCTAGGCACTCCAGCTGTGGTGAAACTGCAAATCCCATCATGCTTCTGCTTTTGGGTGTCATGCTTGTGCCTGTCAAGTTTTGCAATGCCTCATGGGACTCGTAGTTGCACAACCGCTGGAGTGCTGAGGTTGCCTACCACTGCCCTAGACAAAAACAGGCACGGAGTAGCCCCACTACAAGAGGAGTCTTCTCCGGAGAGAGGCTTTAAATGCATTGAAGAGACTCCTTGGAGCATGTTTATGTATAATATAAATTCTGAATGAGTTATGTTATAATCCATGAAAGTAATGTCTGCTATAGAGAGACGTTCCTTTTCCAGTTTTGTTTTGGAGGTTGTGAAAGTTTTGCGTCTCTTACGTTGCTTAAAACACATACTGTGTGTGTGTGTGTACATGCCATGATTAAAAAAATGTCAATATTGTGTGCCTCCAAGGCTAAAATAGTTCAAGCTGTGTTATGTTGTCACCACAACATGCGGCAGTAGTGGCCACTACATTAATAGAAGTTTGTGAAATGAAAGAGATCATGAAGGGGCTTCCTCACAGAAACAAATTACTGGACAAATCCTGACCATGTTTAGACCTAGCGACCGTGTAATAAGGATACAAATCTTTTTTGTGGCTTTAGGTCCTGTCCTACTAAGCATGAGATTTTGAGGAAGTGTGTCATTCTCTCAGCACAGCAACCAGTCACCTCATCCAAGTAAATGAAAGAGGAAACCTTGTTGGTTAGCCTAAGTCAGGGGTAGGCAACCTTTGCCCTCCAGCTGTACTCAAACTACAAATCCCATGAGGCATTGCAAGATTCTGACATCCACAGGCATGACTCCTAGAGGCAAAGGCATAATGGCATTTGTAGTTTTACTACAGTTGGATTTACTACCCCTAGTGTAAATAGGATTTCCTTTGCTCCAGATTTCATCATGGAACCCCAGCTATATTGTATGTAGGATTCATTTTCTTTGTGTTGTCACTAAAATTTGGCAAACAGCTCATGGAATTTCACATAGGAATTGTTAAGCATATCCTTAAATAAAACACAACACAGAATTTCATTAAGGGTTCTCCCGAAAACCATAACGATAACCTATGAAATAGTCACAAGATGTTGGCCTAGCTAGGCCATAATCAAATAACCAAATACCGTTTATGCTGCATTATCATTTTTACTGCCGGTGAGGGGGAAGGGTGTTCTGGCTGGCGTCCCGCCCCGCTTTTAGCGAGGGGGGACACAGACTCTGGCTGTTGTCCTGCCAGGCTCCTGGCAATCAATCACTGATTGCTAGGAGCTGGGCAGGACGCTGGCCAGAGCATCCTAGGTTGCTAAGAGTTGGGCAAGGAGATGTGTATGGATCTGCATCTCCTGGCCTGGCTCTCAGCAGGCCCAAGCTCCTGACAAACGGCGGCTGTCTTCTGTACTGTGGCGGGCATCCCTCCCAGCTCCAGTGAATGTGAGGTTCCTAGACTGTTTACCGTCTGTGAGGGGGGAAGTGTTTTCCCGCTGGTGTCCCGCCCAGCTCCTGGCAACCGGGTGTTGGTGATGCTATACTCAAGTGTCACTGAAGCTAAATAGTCTTAGCTAGTGTTTGCGTTTGTATCTGTGTGTACGTGGAGGACTTTAACCCATTGCCGTCGCCCCATTGTAAAATTACGGGCGGACGGCAGATCCTTCTTGGTGAGGTCACCTAAATGTACGTCATTTTTTTTTTTCTGCTCGCGTGCACCCCCGAGCAGAATCTCGCCGGGAATCAGTACAGCCATTACCGGCTGTTACACATACAAGCGTTCGGCGGCTCTATAGCCACCCCCCTCCTGCACCCTTACCTCCAATCCCGGGCTCCGCTGCCCCATCTGCGGCCCGGGACAGGGTGTCAGGAGGAAGATGGGAGGGTGATCAGCATCTTCCTCCTTGCTGATCTCCCTCTGACGTCTGAATGCAGAAGTGATGTGTAATACATCACTTCCGCATTCACCTGTCAGTCCCCTGGCTGCTATAGCCAGAGAGAAGTGCCTGCATCCAGAGAGAAGTGCCTGCATCCAATCAGATTGTTCATGTATTTTGAGAGCCAGTGGGGCCGACTAGCAAGATACTGAAGCTTGGCCCAGTGGGAGATTCCTCCATCCACACAGTGTAGCGTAGATGGAGGAATCTGCTGCACTTTTTCCATCTGACCATAGAAAATCTGCAGATAATCTATAGGTGTATGGCCAGCTTAACCCTTCTTCACTCTCTCCAAAAAAAAAAATAGTTTGGCTAGAGTTTGGCTTTGATAAAGACAGTGACATTATTCACTTTTTTTTAATTTCACATTGCTTTGTTTATATCCCCCCCCCCCCCCCCG